ACCCAGTTCTGGGGCTAGCATGGCATGTGGTACCAGGGATCGAACTCAGAACCTGGTGCTTATGCTGCCGAGCCATCTCCCCAGCCCCCCGCACTCCACTGCACTCCACTGCTTCCTGACCCACACTTCAGGAGTTGATCCTACAGCTGTCCTCAGGAACCGACAAGGCTTTTTCCTCTCATGCTTGGCTAATGCCATGTCCTGTGACAGGCGTTTTTGTTTTAATCTTGCTTACTTCCCCAGTTTACATGTCCCAGTGTTAGAACTCAGAAGCATTGTCAGCTTTCTGTGTATACATTTTTTTCTGTATCCTCTGGGACCTTGTGGCAGTTCCATCCTTGGGAATGTCTCCTCTCTCCACAGGTGTAAGTGCAACGGACATGCTAGCGAGTGTGTGAAGAATGAATTTGGCAAGCTGGTATGTGACTGCAAACACAACACGTACGGAGTAGACTGTGAGAAGTGCCTTCCTTTCTTCAATGACCGGCCATGGAGGAGGGCAACTGCTGAAAGTCCCAGCGAGTGCTTGCGTGAGTGCCTGGGCTCTGCCTTCCTCCTTGGAAGGAAAATCTGAAAGGTCATGCTCCTTTGACAGCTTGAGACAGTAGAATGCCAGTTGCATGCACGCCGGTGGAAGGTCGCAGAAGAAAGCAGTTGGCTGAGAGGCACACTGTCCTGGTTCCTTGATTAGATTCAAATGCTATGCCAGTGTGGCCCCTCGAAAGATGATTTCTCCAGTCTTTTCTTTATTGACCTTTAACCTGTCATCCTCACGGAAGATTGGTTGCAGAATCTCCCTCAGATAGGAAAATCTGTGGCTATTTCAGTCATTCATATGAAACGATGTTGCATTTGCACATAACCTATATGCATCTTCCTGTATGCTTTAAATCTTCAGCTGATTTCTAGTGCCTAATACAATGTAAATAAAAGTACCTGATATATAGTATTGTTTAGGAAATAATGACCAAAAAAAGCCTGTATGTGTTCAGTACAGACACAGTTTTCTTCTCAAATACTTTTGATCGGCGCTTGGTCAAATCTGAACCTGCCGGTACAGAAGACCAACTGCGTTCTTCCTGTCAATGCACCTCTACTCAGTCGTGTCAAGTTTAGTGAGTTCGAGACTAAGACTGCTGTCCAAAAGTGTGTTGCTTAAAATTAGTTTTCCTTTGCCTCACTAAAGAGTACTATGGGTAAAATTTTCCCAGTTCCCTTTTGGAGAGCTGGGTGGCTTTGGGAAGAAGAATAGGTCATATATCCTTAGAAAATGACAAAATAAAAAAGTAACTGCGTTGTTTATCCCTTCATAATGCCATGGTTTATTCTGAACAGATAGAGAAAATTGAAGAGAAAGAAACCACGCAGTAATGATTTGCCAGGGACTTAATAATAACAAAGTTTCAAGGCAGCTGTAATGTTTTTATCTCTACAAATATGCTTCATCAGACTGTCTTGAAAATAAAACAA